AAAAAAAAAAATAGTTGATTTTTTTGACCCACCCTAATATATATATTTGCATATATTTTTCGCATATATATTTTTCCATGCGGGGAGTTCAAGTTACGCATTAATTTTTACGTGAAGCGTTCCACATTCACGTAACAGGAAATAGGGAAGATAAGGATTGAGATAAAATGAGGAGAGGACCTTCTGAATGGGAGTTTATAGAATAAGTGAGAAAAAATTCGGATAGGTTGAACTGGGATTCGAACCCAGAACCTTCCGAAGTCATGTCGGCTGTTATACTTTTTTTTTTTTTGTTTGAAAAAGGTTATTTATTTTGTTTGTTTGTTTGTTTATCCTTATACATAATTAAGTAATAAATATTATACCTTATAAAAATTTACTCACTAATTTTAAAAATTTTAATATTTTTTTCATATAACCTGCATTAAAAATGCGAATTTCAATGCCTGTTGAGCCAACTGAAACTAGACAATTTCAGATCAATGCGACTGTGCCGGGCAGGAATCAATTATTACTTCCCGGCGGACAGAAAATGAAGAATTCCTGCCCGCGAAATGAAGTTGCAGCTTTATTTTCAATCCTATCAATTGTTTGTTTATTTTATACCTTATAATTGTCATTCTAACCGTTAACTGTACTGACATATTATAATTCTGTTATTAAGGATAAATAAGAATGACAAAATAAAACTATTCAACTTACGAATAATGTTTGATAAAAAATAAACTATTACTTTCTATTTTATTATAAATTTTGTAATAAAATGGTATTTTCGCTATACGTCTGAAACTTTCTAGTTCTGGTTGGCTCCAGACATTAAAACTAGCATTTTTAATGCAACTTATATGAAAAATATAATGTGTGACGCGGGATGAAACACAATTTCAGACCATGTGATGCCAGCCCTCGCTTCGCTCGGGCAGGCAACTTCACTCTGGTCTGAAATCGTTTTGTTTCATCCCTAGTCACACAATATACTATAGTAGTCTTCATCTGAAGCGTCTCTGTAAAAAATAGTTATATTAGAAATAATATTAACTTGAAAAATGCCTGATATGCAGTGACTATTGATAAAATTAATTTTTTTTGCCCTTGTGAAACTTCATAAAATTTAAATACGTCATTATTTGCCTCCTATCTCTCAAGAGTTAAGCTTATGGAGCGACAATAACAAAAAATATTGTATGTCATTCGGCCGTTTAGTGGCGATTTTGATGACTTTTTTTCGATATTCGCTTTAATGTTTGTGACGCCAATGTTTGAAAACGAGCGTAAATTTCCGTCCTCGGCTACGCCTCGGACGTTAAAATTACGCCCGTTTCGAACCTTCCCCCCACAAACCTTAAGCTCATATCGAAATATCGTCGCTGTCAGAAAACCGCCACTTCACGGCCATATGACATAAATATCTATTTCCGTGTATTTTTGTAAATTTTTACGATGATCCATCGTAAAAAATTTTTTGTTATTTATTACTTACATTCAAAAAAACAGTGTTTTATAAAACTTCTATCGGACTTTTGAGCTCTCAGAGCTCAAAAGCATAGAAAAGCTAACTCTTTGAGCTTGGAAAACTCAAAAACATCATTAGTGCAATTTTAAGCACTTAGGTATGGAATTAGCGGGAAGTTGCAGGGATGGCCATCAGATTCAACCGTTTTCCTAATTTTTTTTATAGTTTTTTTGAGATCTCTCAAAATCTGCTGGTTCGAATCGGTCCAAATTGTTTTCGAAATCTAAGTTTGGTCAAACCAAATTAATTCATTTTATCATTGCTCTCATCAAAACAAATAATTCATTTCATCATTGCTCATTATAATTATTGTATTTCATCAATTATGATCGCATCATTATTACCATTTTTGTCATTATTTCGACTCTGCCATTTTTTAATCTAAAATTTCGTTATTCAATTCGGATTGGAAAATGTAGCTTTTTTGGAATAACTTTTAAACGGCTTTACCGATCGATTCCAAGAACTAATCAGCTCTTAACATCAACAAACCACGTTGATCGCCGGCAGTTTGGTCAAAATCGGTTGATTAGATCGTGAGTTATCGTTGTCGAAAGAAAACCGAAAAAAGTGTTTTTCGGAATTGCTCTGAAATTCCTAATTCGATCGATTAAATTTAAAAATTCTTTATGAGGCTTAAAAAACTGCGTAGAATGCCGCCTACCGCGTGAAAATTGTTCGATTCATTCTTGAGTAATTGCGGTTTGAAAATTGAAAATATAATGTTTTATCAAACTTCTATCCGACATTTAAGCCCGGAGAGCTCAAAATGACAAGAAAATTATATATTTGAGATCGAAGAGCTCAAAAATGTAATAAGTGTAATTTTGAGCGCTTAAGTATGGAATTAGCGGGAAGTTGCAGGGATGGTCTTTAGGGTCAGCCGTTTTTCTAATGTTTTTTTATTGTTTTTAGAATTAGTAATGTTTACTAGATTTATTCTTTACGTCACTATACTAAGGTTTGATAAAAAAAAAAAAAAAAAAAAAAAAAAACAACATAGCGCGTAACCGAAAATCGTGACGATTGTTTCTTACATTGCTATAAAATTTCTCTCATACGTCAATAGAGAAGTTTCACTTTAAAAATTCGACTGTATTGGTCGAAGATAATGTACTTTTAATCAAAGATATAGATCTCTCGAACCAAGATAACGAAAATCGAAACAAGAAATTCTTGAATCAAGACAACTGGTTCTCTTCAAAATAAATTTGTTGGAAAGATGGTTTCTCATTAATTAATATAGTTTTTTAACAGTGCTTTACCCGCATGGGAAAATTTATGTGTGAAAAATACATTTTTACATATATTTTTTTACGGTAAATTCATACTTACTTACATTTTGAAATATATTATCGCATATATGTTTGCATATATGTTCATATATATGCACATACAAATGTGTACATTATAAAAACGTACCAATCGGCCATTCTATACAAAGTTATAGGCATTAAAAAAAAAAAGTGACATCTTTTTTTGAAAATCAATAGGAATGCCTAATATTTATACGCGTACATGTTTGTGTACATATATTGTTAAATATATGCTTCTATCTATATAAGCATATAAGTCTGTATATACGTGTACATATACAATATATATGCATACATTGATTTTGACATTGATAATGACATATACATTCAAAACTGTATATTGTCAGATTTTTTTTTGCGTAAATATATGCCACATGTATGTTTGACATTTATATTTTTCCACACGGGTAATCATGGCCTCTTCATTTATAAGCTATGAAAAATCATAATGAAATATAAAAATATCATCTTACCGTTAGGATCGTCTCGATCGCGACTGATCTCACCTACAAAATTAACAAATCAGAATTAATCGATAATCATCTAATTACAAACATAATCAATTAAAGTAAGCACAAATAATCGATAGCCAAGTGTGCTTTATCACTTATGCTGTGACATATTACTCCCCCCGTAATTCGCGCATTAACCTACAGCCTCATGCTTACAGGCGCACATACCTGATCCCAGACATTTATGCCAGAGATGCGCTTTTTTATAAATAATAATTAAAATCATTAATCCTAATAATGCGGTACTACATTCAATAAACATTACAGGTGATGAAAAATTACACAATAATAAGAAAAAAACAATTATATATGAAGAAAGCATGCGATTAGATGGATAAAAAGCACGATGAACGAATCTAATAGCTACTAATACAGTAGAAACAAAATCAAAAATAGATCTAAATGAATTCTGATAAATTCAGAAGAAAAATTACAAAATTTCATCGAATAAGTTATGACGACAAAACATAAATTTTTATTGGAAGACTAGTGGTTCTATGAGTTAGTTTGATAAGTTTGATTTAAAATTAAGTAGGCAACAATCGTAAATATATCTTGAAGTAAGCGTTAGTTTAACGCTTAATTATTATTATTATTATCATTATTATTATTAATTAATTTATTTATTTAATTATTTAATTATTTGTTTATTTATTTTTATATAATAAATGTCTTGATTTATCATATTATCATTAATTAGCAACAGGAGTGCAGCTTGCAAGATTGTAGCATGACTTGACTGAGTGAGGTGTAACTGTACCTCTCACGTGAACCATCTTGGGCAGTTCTGGCGGAGTGAATGTGGGGGGAGGATGATGGTCGTCTGTAACAAACCACTACATATGTTAGCTACCCTATCTAATTAAATAAGTATTACGTAACTAAATCCTAGTTTTATTTTTTTCTAGACTATTTTGTTTTATGGCATTTAGAGTTGTACACAAGATCCAGTTGATGATTTTAAAAATTAATACTATTAAAAAAAATTTTTTCAAATTTGTATTTAACCGATTTATCGATTCTTATTCACTTTTCAGTGTATTTAATAAATTTTACTTGAGAATCAAAGAATAAAATAGATTAAATCAAAATATAAGTATCTTTTTGTTTTGACAAAAAATTGAAATTTGTATACCTCTCAGGAAAAAAGGCATTCCGTAATAAGTTAAAAGAATCAAGTTATTTTCAAATATAACAATTTCAAGAATCTAAGTTCTGATTTCCGACAATCATAAAATTTCATCAACATTTAAAAAGTTGATAAATTGTATATTATGTAGGATGTATTAGGTTAAATACACTGAAACAATAGTCAAAGTCCTCGAAAGTTGCGCTCTCTCGTTGAAGTTGCTACTTCCTCCTATCCTCACCATCGGAATTTATTTTTTTATGCACACTCTGGGTGCGCAATAAAAATCAGGTTTTACTGACATTTAAAATTTAAGGAAGAAGAGTATCCTTGCAACTTAAACGAATGTATCTTGTCAACTTTCGAGGAATTTAACTTCATCTGTATACATGTTTTTTCCAAATAACACTAAAACTCTCAGTGCTAATTTTATTGACAATAATTATTACATGTTTCTCTTGTGAGTTAAATTAAATTATTCAATTCAATTGAATTACTTTATAATTATTATTTCTTCATATCTGCAAAACATAATATTTATTCATGAATAAATTATTGTCATTAAACAAAATACCAATAATTAATTTTTAATAAAAGGTAAAAAGTTTTTTTTAATTCATGCACCGTGCACTTAACCAAAGAAAATTTTACTAAAATGTAAAGTAATTTTGACCAAAATCAATTTTAGTATCTCTTTTAATATTAGGGTAGTGAATATAAGTAAAAGTTGTATTTTTAATAGACAAAATCATTTGGTTAATATAACTTTCATTTTAATAAAAAATATTGAATTATACTCGTGCATCAATACCTATGGTTGTAAGCTAAACAGTAAGTAATAAATACTTATACGAAAACACGTAAATCTACATTACAAATACATAATTTCTAAACCCTACATTATCGAATATAGTGTGCGTGTTGTTTACAGATAAAATAATATATTTTTTAAATAGAAATAGGTGTTTAAAACTAAAAATAGAACATGCAAATCAGAAATAGTAATTGCAAATAAGATTCTATTAATTTAGTAATTATTATTATTACTAATAACTTTATCTAATTTTTTAGAATATAACAGACAGAAGAGTATATAAGTAAGAAGAATGAAAAACAGAGTACTGTTTGTGCTTCTTTTCTGATATCTATCAAATCTACAGTATAAATAAGGTTGTTTAGAAGCTGATGTCGGGTGGAGTTGATATAGGATTGAAGTTTTTCTGCGTCGAATTTACCAATTTATTTTAAACAATTATTTTGAATGTGAATATATAAAGTAGCTGTTTTGTGAATGAATAGCTCTTGAGTTGATGTAATCAAATGAATTATGAATATTTGTACTAGTTGTTTTCACAGACGTACAAAATTTGCATTAGAAAAAAGTCATTTGCGAACAGTAATGCTGTACACCGTAATTAAAATGTAAGGTGTGATAGTATAAAAAAAAAAATAAAATATAAAATTTATTTATTATCTAAGGTCGAAGATACGCATCTTATGCGATAATGACTTTATTATAAGTGATTGAGAATTAATTATCTATTATAAATATTGCATTTTTAGATGAACCATTAGCAATTATAAACATTAATTTATAGTTTCCTAGCCTATTTCAATTGGACAATAATGAATCTGATTATACGAGCAAATGAGTATCCTTCAAGCTGAAACTTACTTGAGTACGAGAAGTCTTCACCTACGTAGTACATGGAAGATGAAAGGTTCAGGCACATAGACACATAGACAATTAGTTTATGATAATTTTTTGCAACTATTCATTTGTACTTATGAAGAATATGTTATGATGTGTGTTTATAATTTTAATTATTTGTTTATGCGGAAGTATAAGGACAAAAATTATTATTTTATTTGTAATCCATAAAAAGAAATTTGGTAAGAAATATTTCAATATAATTCTTATTTTTGGAACAGATTAAGTACAGGTACTTATGGTAGACAGTATACTAGTTATTGATACTCTACTATATTTTGCGGATTAGTTCATTATATAACACTATTGTTGCTTTAAGCATTTTTTATGACCTATTAGCTAGTTAAGAAACTTTAAAAACTGTGAACCGATATTGAGTAGAAAATCTTGACTAAAGAAAAACAATTTATTCAATTTTATCACAATAGTTAGTAATTTTAAAAATTTGTTTTCTTGTCTTCAGAGTATTAATATTAATTTGATATTAGTGCAATAATACATCCAGCGAAAAATCTATAGTAACGATGATTACGCCAACCATTGCTGTGGTAATCATTACCAAAAAGTGTAAAAACTCTCGAGACATTTCACTTTTGTCAATCTAGCTTTCATTCGCAAACTTGAGATAAGCAGCCTTGTTCCAAAAACTAAATTAATCATTAAGGGACTGTGGTTTCTTTCTATTGAATAATTCAACAATTAAACAAACTAATATTGATCATGTTCTCTAGGATCAATAATGGGCGTTTATATCTTACTAGATGATTTGTTGAACTAAAATTTCTTTTCAATTAATTTTATAAATGTATAGGAAGTTTAATCTCACCGGACTCGGAAAAATGTTATGAAGCATGTATCTAAATGAATATTATTTTGAAATTTATTGCTAGACTCACTGTTTTATAGTTATAAAATTTAGATAAGGCATTTGCCTTTTTTATATCGTTTAAATTGTTGTAAAATTAAATTTTTATAATTTAGACAATTAATTTTAATTTTATTATAACGGGATAAATTTAAAAACTTATGGGAAAAAAATCACTAAAATTTTTATTGCAATTTGTCTTATTTATAAAGCATAATTATTTTCATTGTTTTGATTTACAAAGAAATTTCTCTTTATGTATTACGTATAATAAAATATGACATGAAATTTTTTTGAAAGAATCTCTTGTATTCACACATCACTCGTTATTCAACTACCTAATGTCGTGTTCATCATAACTGGTTTCTGTATATAAACACCTATAGCGATTTTACTGTAAAATATATTTGTAGTACATAGAACAATCAAAAAGTTTTTTTAAAAATAAAAAAATGCAATTCGATGATAATCGAGCAAATAGTTGATTTTAAAACTTATAATTTAGAGTAATTTCACAATTTTTATTTCATTTACTACATTTTCCAATGATGAAATCTAGAAATGTTCAATTAAAAATTATTTTTTATAACAATTAGAGTCAAATCACATATAAAAATTCAAATACACTAATGAGTACTACACACACGCATAATTTGTTGCAACGAAATTGTTGTATTTCAATTATTTGGTAATGAACGATTTTAATGTTTCGGTTTCATTCAATACTCCATCGGTAGTCTGATTTTTGTTTTGTAAATAATTACTTTTGTAACCAGTACAAATGAAAACAATCGTTCAGGAAGAATTTAACTATAAACAGTGGGAAATATTGTGTGAAATCAACACAATTTCTGTGTTAAACACGGTCCACATAAAATTTGTGTTCAAATTCAACCCACTTTATGTTATTTTTACACAAAGTTTGTGTTATTTTAATACAACAAATTTTTAATACAGATCGTGTTTAACACAGATACATAAAATTTTTTATTGTGTAAAAAAATTAACAATTTGAATATCGCATCAAATATTGATCTTTGACCTTGTACAGGGTCTTCTACTTTGTATATGTTAAAATGACATTAATTCAATTATACTACAAACTGTCTACATATTCGTTAACTCGATGAAATTGCGGATACAGCAAAAGATTTTATGTAAAAATTGATGACGTATTTAATATTGTCAGCAATCAAAAAATATTTATTTCAACTAACGGTGAACCTGAAGCTTACAAGCCAACAATCGAAAGTTTGCCAGTAATGAAATTAGAACTTTCACCACACCTTAATCAAAAGTTCATGTTTTTGTTATGTATCGATAATTTGCTCAATATATCTAGCAACACAAACAATCAGCTTGGTAAGTTTTAGTTATTTGAGTTATTAGATAAGATAAAGAAAATTTTTTTGTGGCCTGATGATAGAAATTAATTAATGACGTTAGAATTGACCGTTAGAAGTAGAAATAAAAAGCAACTACCCCGATTTGAATAAAACTAAGTTCAAAAAATTAATTGACAAAAAAATGACCGAGAAGCGATATGAAATATACAATAATTCGGCATTGCTATTAAGTTAACGTTTCAAAACTTGCAGCAATAACGGTTTCTGAATAGTTATTAAGAATACAGAAGACAATACAAACAATTATTGTTGCTAAGCTATAACTACGGTTCTGAATGATTTATTTACATTTTAATTGAACTTTTGAACTGGTGTGATGAAAAAATGAAAACGTATTGCAGAAGGAATGTAAATCACATATATTTCGTAATGATCCATTTTCCTTCTTAGAAGCGTGATGTATCATTATTTATTAATTATAATACTTAAATGAAGATTTAAATTATTATAAATATTCCAGTTAAACTCTTCCTTAAGATGAAATTTGTAGTTTTTTAGCTAATGACCGATGAAATAATGAGTGCTATTCGTATTTGCCCGTGTTCAAATCATTAAAGTAGCTTTTGAATGATAGATTAAGTAAGTATCAAACTAAAATTATAACATTAATACATAAATTTTTCCATTCAATCATTTGTAATTCTGTCAAGAGTCTGATAAACAATTATGATTAATAAGTTACATACAATGGAGACCCCTGCTTCTACGAAAGAATCTCAAAACGAAGTAGTGGAGAGCATCAGATTTCCTGCTACATTCTTGCTCAAAAATTTTGAAGAAGTATCTGTATCAATTTTTCGATAATTCCTGAGCAAGAATCTGTTGACAGAATCTTACGCTAAAATTTTCAGAATTGGGATGCAGTTACTTGATCGAAAATTTAAAGCCAAATTTGCTCAAGAAGAAAAAAATTGTTATCAAGATACTATATCAAGTTTTCGTAATGCTTGAAATTTTTACTCCCGTCAGCAAAAACGTTTCACTTAAAAATCATCAATAGTCTACAGTAATTTTAAATGGTAGAATAGTATTTTGTCAAAAGTGGCACTTCAACCTTCAACTTTTGTTTAAATTAAAACTTTACTTTTTTTCTAGTTTTCTTCTACCGCTTAATTAAAATATTCAAATTAAATTCCAACAGAATGACATGAATTTTTAAGAATCTTTATCAAGAGATAAGTATGAAACATGTAAAAACAATACAAAGAATAACAAATCAAAAGCTACTTCAATATTATTTGATAAAATCCACTTGTGAGACAACATCACATAATAAGAAATCCAAGTATTACTTATAATATAATACTCTCACTTTTTTACATAGAAGAATCACCGAAATGGTGTGTGACAGTAATATACAAATACGTGACACAATTTCTAGTCTCGTGGGATACGTACTTGCTCTTCCGACCATTTGAACGGCTCGTACGCCTTTCCGGAATGTAGCCACTACCCGAAGGGAGAAGAATCACAGCCATTAGTTTATACATTTAAACAAATTCGTCAACAATTATCATTGCAACGAATATTTTATAATTGTATATTTAAACCAATGCGGATTTATAAACACTGTTAAAATTATAATAAATGATTAAATCATGGTTATATTAATGATAATATTCACTAGTAGTAATAAAATTATCAACAATATCGAATGTAACTTATAGCAGCGTTGTAAAGTCGCATTGATTGTACCGGTTAAAACATTTAGTTTTATGTTATTATTATTATCCTATTTAATATAATATTTAAAAATTCATTATACTTTAAGATAATGGTTTACGTCTTTATTCTTTTAAACAAAGTTATATCTAAACAGAATAAAATCGTTGGAGTCACAAATAGAAAATTATTTGCTCGTTGGTTAAAAATTTTACTGCAAAAAATGATATCCATAGGAAAATATAATTTTTTAATACATGTATGTTAGATGAAATTTAGTAATTTAAATACTTAAAAATTAAATCATCTTGACTTTCAGACAACGATCTCCTTCTTAAACACTTACTAAATGTCTTCAAGATATTTTATAATAGGTACAATCTAGTACGTTTTGATATGTTACAGCAAGGTGAATTTTAAAATCTTCTGTTAAAGTTTCCCCCCAATTTTGTTGTATACAAATTGCTTGTACAAAAATTCGTTCCTCTTATGATCGTCAAAATTGCTCGCGTTCTTAAGATTACGATGACTTATCATAACCTGAATGGAATTAAAATACAAAACAGCAAATTGGTCCTAACAAAATGATTTGGGACCTAACCATCTTCTAGAGAAGACCTATAAGCAAGAGGGAAATCTCCATCAGACTGTTTGAAAAAAAAAATTTTTTTTAGTAGATTTCATAAAAATCTAACTATTGTATTTGTCCTCATGACGTAATTTTCCGTTAATTTTACTATATTCCGACCTAACTTGACAATCTGAGTCAGAAAATACACATGGTTCAAAAGTTTATATATGTATGTATATATATTAGACTGTGCCAAATAAATCAACTATTTTTTTTTTTTTCGGTCTCATCAAAATTTCGTTGAGAGTGACAAAAAAAAAATTGTGTCAAAATTTGAGCCCTCTATCTTCATTTTTAAGTTAGCGCTCGCAAAAATAAGAATTTTCGCCAAAAAAAGTTTTTTTTCACTTATTTTTCGAATAAAGAAAATTCAATATACCGAATACGAAAAAACGCTTGGTATGGTTTTGTAGGAAATTAAATTCTCTACAAAGATGATTTTTTATCGATCTTAAAAA